CTCGCGACCCTGACGGTCCTGTCATCGGCTATCTCAACCTCTAGTGGGCAATCCAGCTCCCCCGGAGCTCTGCTAAACCTCTTGCTAAGTGCAAGAGACACAAATGATCGGGTAGCCCCCGAGTCAAACAATACTGTAGCTGAAATGCCGTTCACTAAGAACGACCCTATACAAAACATATAACCATGAGAAACGATCAAAATCGGTAAGGAGATGAAAGGAAAATATATATACCTGTCACCACATCAGGAGTCGCTCGCGCCTCCTCTGCTGTCATCTGGAAAGCTCTACTCTTTGCCACTGGCATCTCACCTCGGCCCTGACGGCCGTCTGTAATCCTCAAGGTGGCAGGGGCAGGTGCTGACACCTTCCCTGCTGCTGCTAAACTCGGGCACTGGGACTTTTTATGTCCCCTCTGATTGCAATGGAAGCAAATCAGATCAGCTGCTGCGGTGGCAGTGGTAGTAGCTGTACAATCCCTACTCATATGCCCGGTCCGACCGCACTTATAGCAACCGGCACTACATGCCTTGCACGCCCCATCGTGCAATCTCCCACACTTGTCACACCGACTGTGGCTCTGCTGTCCTCTGGATCTATGATCTGACACCTTGGGCTTTTTGCCCGAACTCCCTGTACCAGAAGCCACCTCTGGCTTCCTCTTCCTCTCCATCTCCAGATCTATCTCCCTCTCCCGAGCCCTCGTAATCATATCATCCAGCGTTTTACAGCTGGACCGGCTCACAAACTGGTGGATATCACTCCGCAACATCTCATGATAACGGGCCTTCTTCATTTCCTCATCAGCTGCATACTGAGGAACAAGAAGAGCCCTCTCCCTGAACTTGGCGGTAATCTCCGCCACTGTCTCTGTAGTCTGGGTGAGATCCTGGAACTCCCTGGCTAACTGCTGCACCTCAATAACCGGTGCAAACTCGGCTCTGAACCTGGTAGTAAAATCAGCCCAAGTCATGGCATCAAGCGCTGCGTCATCCCCGATGACATGCCCGACCTCCTCCCACCAATCCCGTGCCCCATGGTAGTCTGGAGCTCCACAAGCCCGGAACTCCCTGAAGGTGAGTGTGCGCGACCCCATCATAGCCGCCACCTCAGCACGGAAAGTGCTCAACCTCTCGTCCATCAGCTCTAAAATACCCTCCTTGATCGAACCGAAGATCACAGGAGTCTGCTCAAGTATAGTGCGAGTAATCTCTGAAGAGAGAAACTCCCTAGTCTGCTCGTCCAACTGCCCGGCCTCCGGGCCTGATCCTGATCCCTCTCCGGCACCTGAACTGCCAATTGCTGGTCTAGGGCGTAAAACCACCATTTTGAAAACACATCATGAAAACGTCAGAAACACTAATGTATCTCGAGGGATCGCTACTACTACCAGTTTCCTGGTCTCATCTCAGCTTTCCTTGGTTCAAGTACGGATCCTCTGCTTTCAGTAGTACGGGCCCATACTACCTTCCACATCTATCCATACTTTCCTCAAGTACTGCCTCGACTCCACCAAGTCACTTCTACTGCTACTGATCTCTGCTACTCTCATCCTAGGCTTGCCCTAGGGAAATCTCTGACTCTACCCAATCCAGTCCTCAACTGCTGAAGGCCTCCTTGTAATGCCAATTAGCCCTTACCTGAATACCATCACATGTGGCGAGGCTCAGATAATCCTTCAAGTAAAAGGCTCGTTCCTACAACGGTTAGACTCAAACGAGAGCTGCGCAATAGGGCCAAATCTAGCACTCTGAGATTATTCAACCCTGTTCACATGTGACGTGACGTATTCACCTAATGGCTAACTTCCATCACTCCGAGTCCCACAAAGCACGAAGCAAGCAGCATTCAGACACTGGAGACTACTCAAGCAATTCTATCCTCATAACAAGAAACTGTACTAGCATACAATGTTAAGCTCATACTATCAGGCATAACCTAAACAGGCTATCTTACTGTTGTCTACTCAATACTAGCATGCAATTCTCATAAAGCGGAAACACATATAGCAGGCACATAAGGCATCCTCCTAGATCCTTGGTCCTATTCTAGCATGCTGTTTACTGAAACTGGAACTGATATACATAACATAAATCTTGTATGGGTAATTTGGGAGTACTTACTTGAGCTCGGTTGATCACATGCACCACACCCTTTTCCTTTTCTCAAAACTCTTTTTCTTTTTAAGTTTATTTTTCTAAAATCCTCTTGAAAATATTTTTCTTTTGAAAATCCTTTTTACCATTTCCTTAGTTTGAGTCCAGTCACACCCGAGAGTGTGCCTGAATCCCTCAAACCAAGGCTCTGATACCAACTTGAAACGTCCCAAAAATACGACCCGAATTTTTTTTAAATATTACTAAAAATCATATCATCAAATATCATACATACTAAAACCATAAGATGTGTAACTCAAAAGTCAAGTAACTGTGTCAAAACAAATACTGTATCAATCATATCAAAATATCTGGATAAAACTCCCAGGATAAAACTGAAGTTGTGGTGTGTGCCATGCCATCATCCCGAGCTCTTCCCCTTACTTGCGGAAGTACCTGACAACAAAAATGAAACTATAAGCACAAAGCTTAGTGAGATCCCCCAAACTACCACATACCATACAATAACATATAAGCAACTACTGGGCCTTGCCCACTGCATCGGACCGAGTCCGGAACTAACCAGGGCCTTGCCCTCTGCATCAGACCGAAGTCCGGAAACTGCATCGGACCGAAGTCCGGAACTAACCAGGGCCTTGCCCTCTACATCGGACCGAAGTCCGGAAACTGCATCGAACCGAAGTCCGGAACTAACCAGGGCCTTGCCCTCTGCATCGGACCGAAGTCCGGAAACTGACTGAACATAGCATAGCATAATCATAACTACTAACATAGCACATATACTGCATACTGCATCGGACCGAAGTCCGGAACACATAACACAAAGACATGCTTGAATCACAGAGACATCAAGCACACTAAACTACTGCATCGGACCGAAGTCCGGAACTACTGCTAACTAAACGGGCCGGCATTGTGGCCATTAGCTAGGTTGTCATAAAGATAACAATTCTGTTATCTATATATATATATATATATATATATATATATATATATATATATATATATATATATATATGTGTGTGTGTGTGTGTGTGTGTGTGTGTGTGTTTTGTTAATTTTCTTGACAGTTTCTAGCAATTTAGCCACTACTTATCATAAAGTTGTCTTAAATATAGATTTTTTTTAAAAAAAAAATCACGAAAAATACTCTCATTTCAAAATTTAAAATTTAAAATCAAAAGATAATTACTTAAAAGGGTAATATATTTTTCGATTTGCACACATTTGGTCACTAAGTTTTTTTTCATCCACATTTATCTTTCAACTTGTTAAACTGCAAGGGCGACTCAACCAATTTGTGGCTCTAAGCAAACAAAAAAATTGAGGCCCTTCAAGTTAGCAGACAGTTTCAAACTTGAGACCCTTAGTTTTATAAACCAACGCTTTTACCACCAGGCCAAGCTCCAACTTGTCTTTGTAACCCAACAAATACGTGTATGCATATACATATATAATTAACATAATAAGCTTTAAAATTAGGGGCCCTTTAGAATTGGGGCCCTAAGCCCTTGTTTAGTTTTACAAAGGGTAGAGACGACCCTACATCAGTGCTTATGACCGGCTACTCCAAGTTAGCCGGTAAAAATGACTTAATATGGTAATATATTTCTCATTTTGTACACATTTAGTCATTAATATTTTTGTACACATTTAGTCTTTAATATTTTTTTGTTGCAAAATAAGTCATTTTTGTTTTTGTACTCATTCAGTACTTATGAATGATTTCTTTAGATTTTTCTCACGACATCTTACATGAGACAATCATTAATGAGATGTTTTGGAGCTTTGGATGCTTATGTCCATCGCAATCTCGACTACTTGGTTGCTTAGGTCATGTGTTATGAACGTCATAACTTCTTCATACGATCTCGGCTTTTAACGATCTTTATATCCATGCGTTCGTACTTTTGTCTACTACAAATTTCGTTTAGATTACTCATGTTAAAAACTAATATAGTTTTACTTACGATCTTTATATCCATACGTTTTTTATGAATGCATGTATGAATGTTTTTTTTTATATAAAATCGTAAGTAAAAATATATTACATTTTAACGGGAATATATATTAAATTTTAACGAGAGTAATCTTAACGAAAGTTATAGTAGACTTAGAAAATGAACACATGGATATAAAGATCGTTAAAATATGATATCATATGAAAAAGTTATGACGTTTAGAACACAAGACCTAAGCCAAACCACAAGACCTACACAACCAAACAGTCGAGATCGCGATGGACATAATCATCAACAACTCCAAACACCTCATCAATGATTGTCACACGTAAGATGTGAGAAAAACCTAAATAAATCATTAATAAGTACTGAATGAGTACACAAACAAAAAAGACTTATTTTGAAACAAAAAAATATTAAGGACTAAATGTGTACGAAAATATTAAGGACTAAATATATACAAAATAAAAAAATATTACCTTATTAAGTTATTTTTTCCGACTAACCTGGAGTAACTGGTAATAAGGATTGAATGTGTACAGTTTAATAAGTTGAATGGATAAATGTAAATGAAAAAAAAACTCAATGACCTAATATATAGAAATCGAAAAGTACATTACCATTTTAAATCATTATCTCTACAATCAAACAAAAGAGGATATCGTCATTTTATTTCATGGTTACATTAAATAACAAAAAGATTATAAATGAAAATGTTTTTAACATTTTTACAAGAACATGAGCTGTTTAAAACTTTGAATGATTTAACGTTGTTTATTTACATAGATCTTGAGCATATTTTGATGCTCTATGAAGGTTTGACCAAGAAAGTGTACTGCAATCGCAGGGTTAGAAGGTGGTAGAGATGGTGGGGTGTCACTGGTGGTGTATATAATTGATGTCCGTATTATGATAGGCCCTTTCCTCTTTCCACCTTTTGCTTTTCTCTCTTCTTCTCCCTCCATCTCTCCCACCATTTCTTATTTCTTTGTTTCCCATTTTGCTTTATTTTTCCCTCGCAGTTTAATAGCTGGATCTCTGACCCAATTGTCTGCTTGATCATCAACACCATCACTTTCTTTCCCCCTTTGTTTTCTTCTTTTCAATTAAACCCTATCTAGCTACTCTTCACCACTTCCCTTATAGCAAACCCCAATTTCACCTAAAGAAGATCCAAGAAAACAAGAGAAAAGAAAGATGACTCCGGCGGCGGCTGCGGCGGCGACACCTACTAATTACACGGCCGGACAGTTTGGTGATACGACTTACACAAAAGTGTTTGTTGGTGGGTTGGCTTGGGAAACCCAGAAAGATACCATGAAAACGTACTTTGAGCAGTTTGGTGAGATCTTGGAAGCTGTTGTCATCACTGATAAGACCACTGGCAGATCTAAAGGCTATGGCTTTGTATGATCCCTTCTTCTTCTTCTTCTTCTTACTTTCTTTTTTAAGCATATTTGCATCTAGATCCTGTAGAACATGGGTTGTTGGTTAAGGGTTTTCTGTATATTAAATTCTTGGAAAATAATTGTAATCAAACGAAGACACAAAGTTAGGCTATCATGTGGGTTTTGTTCTATATGCCACTATTTGACACCAAATTCCGACCAAAAATGCAGGTGACTTTCCGGGAAGCCGATGCGGCGATGAGGGCTTGTGTTGATGCAGCTCCGGTGATTGACGGCAGGAGGGCCAACTGCAATCTTGCTTCTTTGGGTGTTCAAAGATCGAAACCCTCAACCCCTAACAAACTCGGTATGTATCAATTCTCTTAATTAATTACAATAACGGCCGGGTTTAATTTGTTCATAGAAAGTATTATTTCATGTTGGTATTCTTGAATTTATAAAACTACAAATCTTTTACGACTTTAGGTTCGTTAATTATGATTAGCATTTGGAATCTTTTAAGAAAACGAATTGTTCGTAGACATGATCATGTATATATACGCAACTATACATTGGGCAGCCTATTGTTAATCTATAAAGATAGATAATATCTCATGGTCATGGGTTCGGATTAAGAAGTGGAGCTGGAAGATGAATATCCATTGCAAAAACACGATTAAGAAAAAAAAATGTGTTTTTTTTTTATTAAAGAGAATCAATGAATATTATCGAGTGAGGTAGGGTTTCCACTTTTATAAAGAAATATATCAGTGTAATGCTTTAATTACAACCACAACCACAAAACATGCATACATGATATATGTATATATATGTTTTTCTTCAGAAAAAAAAAAAAAAGAAGACAGGTCATATACAGCTAGCTCAACTTGGTGGTACTCACATTTTCTTTTTTTCATATCTTATAACATTAGGGTTATTTCAGTAAACTTAATACACCTATCTCCAACGAAAAAATCATGTAATTCGTACGATTTCTATAGTACAATCTGTTTGCTTGCAAGTCATCAATTTACTTGGGATCAATTAAAGTACAACAGTTTAGCATACATATGCATATATATTTTTGTATACATCACTATCATGGCTTAAAAGCATGTACATATAATATGTGTGTATAGTTGTAGTAATAAATACGTATGCATAAATTAATGTAGGTGGAGGAAGGACCATTAGGGTCATGGGTGGTTATGGAGGAGGGTATCATCATCATAATCATAACCATCATCAAGCTGGTGGTGCAGCTGGAATGGGGACGACAGCCTTCCCTTCTGCTACAGCCTTCCCTCATTATGCCATCCACCAAGGCATACCTTTCCCTGCTACTAATCTTTATGGGTATACTCTCTCTCTCTCTCTCTCTCTCTCTCTCTCTCTCTCTCTCTCTCTCTCTCTCTCTCTCTCTCTCTCTCTCTCTCTCTCTCTCGATACATACATAGACATATCTCTATAAGTATATATGCATTATGCATGGAATGTAGCCACCAAGTATCACATTCCCTGCTACTAATTAATCTTTATGGGTTAGTGTGTATATATAGACATATACATGCGTACATATACATATATAAAAGGTTGTTAGAATAAATATTTTAGTTGAAGCATGTGGGCACAGAGAAATAATTAAACAATATTTGAAGGTTTCTTCTGTAAATTGGCCCTTCTGTATCCAGGCGTGCTTTGCTGTGCTCTATCATCCACATGCCTAGCCATCATGATTGCAATCCCATTCTTTCTCTCTCTATATATATTCTCTCTCTCACACACACTCTCTCTCACATACACTCTCTCTCTGACCCTAGTCAAACTAACCTGCAAACCGCACATGAGCAGTACTGTACATTACAGTACTTCCATTACGACTTTAAAAGATAATTTTGGGACTTTCGTTCTTTTTTTAATCCATTTCAGCAGGCATATGCCATGTACTATGTGTATGGATGATTGTATTCTGTTCTTTCATTTGATTTTTTTTTCTTTAAAATATTCGTTCATGCATCCCATGCATAAACTTATAGTCGTGTTGTAACTTCCACTATACGTTAGGTTTTCATTTTTCTAATTTTCCTTATTCTTGGATCTTCAGATACTCTCCATATTCTCCAGATTACACATATCCAACGGTATGTTTTCAAATTACGTTGTTTTTTTTTAACGTTTGAATTTGGTTTTTAAAACTTGACTGGTTTCTTGTATTAATTCAGAGTTACTATAATGTTTATGGAGGCACAAATGGTCAGTATCCATATTATGGAGCAAATGCCGGTGGTGGTATGATAACAGCTGCCGGAGCTGCCGCCGCAGCCGCCGCCTTCTACCCCTACCTGAACATGGCGGAAGGTGGTCATGGAAACTACGCAACTGGTCAAAGCTATGGTGTGTACCCTCATCATCTTTATCAGTATTCTGCCGTGAATTCTTCAGGAGGATACCCACAACAGTATGGCACTCCGATCTCCCTAGCAGCTACTCCACCATTGCAACCTGCAGGTTTAATTTGCATTAAATATATAGATTTTATAATAACGTTTCTTTCATTTCTAATCACACTAACGACAAATTAATCGATTCTAATGATTTGTTACTAACATTTTTGACAGTTTGTTTTGCTGTACCACAGGCGTAAACATGGTTCTACAATCGCCTGCTGCTCATCATTAAGAGATTCAAGAACTACGTTGATGAAACCGAGCCTGCATGCATGCATAGTTCTCTTTCCATTCTCAGAATCTTTTCCATTCTGAAAAAAAAAACCCCACCCGACCTTTGGCCCAACCATGGTTATCTCTTTCTTTGTCTCTCTTTCATGGAAGCCTTGTAAGTCAAGGTTATCCAAGGTATGGAAACAAGCCCCCCATAGGGGTTATCCATCCAAATTTGGAGGACATTTTTCTATCTTCTCTTTAAAGGGCAGGGTCCCCTACAAGAGAAGGACACCCCAAAAAGCATATGCATGTGCATCTCACCAACTTATGGCTACGGAAAAAAGTTCATAAGTTGGGGAAATTTTTATATAAATTCTTGGCCTATGGGAAAAGGTCAAAAAAAAAAAAAAAAAAAACTAAGACATCATAAAATCAACTCATTTCTCTTGAATTAAGAGAGTTTGTAAATGCTTCAAGTTTCAAATTTTGATGAATGATGTCTATTTTTATATATAAATATATACATTAGTTTAATTAATCATGAGGCATTGGAACGTGCCTTAAGTTTTTGTTTTTCTTAACTTGAACCCTAGTCTTAGATTTTTAAAAACTTGGCTAGCATGTTTTTGTTAAAACTATTTCTAAAAAAATTTCTTTCTCGGAAAACAACGGATCATCCCTTCTTATGGTAAGAAGGGGTGATCATGTTTCTTTTTTAAAATTTCTTTGTAAATTCACTTTGGCTAAACAATGGGATTGTTTAGCCATGTTACTAAATAACATTAAGGTGTAGTTGTAGTGCATTTAGGGTTTTTACCGACTTTTTTAGGTAGGTATCATGGGCTTCGTTAATGGAAATGGAGTTCAAATGCATTTGGAAAGTAAGCCTTGAGAGATATTTTCAATCTCTTGGTTTACGATCTCTAACACATCAACCATGGTTAGGACTCAGGTCAACTTTTCCCTTTCCTTCCCTTCCCATCTCCCCCCTCTCCTATGTGGCTCTCAAGTCTCAAGTAATTTACTTTGAGATGAAACTTAGTACTCTTTTATAATATGTAATCATGATCGAAGGTTTGAACATGGGATTGTAACTAGGAATTAATTAATGTTGCTTAATTACAACACTCATTCTTAATCAATGGTGATTGAGATGAGCCTCTACTTAACCAATTTTTATTTTCCTTTAGAAGACGTATTGCATGCTTTGATATTCTTTAATTACCTTGCTAAATAATCCCCTATCATGCGACTCCATTTTTCAAATTTGAAAAAATGACCATGTTTCACAAACCGATTTACGTATTGGTAAGTCCAATTGTTGGGTTTGTAGTGTTAGATGGATTATTTTCAAATTAATTGATTACAACTATTTTTATTTTCTCAAAAAAAAAAAAAAACATATTCAATTCATCTCGTCTAAGAACATGCAACGTTTATTTCCTACATGCTTTAATACACTTTTTGATCAACAATTAAAAACTTAAAAGGTTTTCAAGTAAGATAAAATTACGAAACTTGTAAACAGTTAACAATTAGTTTCACAAAAATGTAATTATTGTTATTAGAAAATTTGATAGATATGGTTTAAAATCTTATAAAAAAGTTAAATATTGCATTTTTGAGGCGTTTTAAAACAGACGATATTGTATATATGAAATAGAGTGAGATATATATGAGTTTTTTTTTGGGAGATATGTATGCGAGTTCAAGCCTACGCTACGCCAATTAAGTCTTCATGAGTGTTGCATCCCATTTAAGTATATGTGCTAAATATTTTGGTTGCTAAAAAAGGGGGAAAAATATGAATATAACATCAAGTCACGAAGATCTTCAAAACAGAAAAAGCAAAAGGAATCTAAATAAAAAACTTGAACGTTAGTAGTCCGGTTTTTAGAAATTTAAAATGAAAGTCGAATTTCTCTTTTGGGATGAAAAGAATATTTGGATTAATATATATAGACGTGTCCATCGATCATGATGCATGCATAAGCATATCACAATATTTTTCACGTTATATATATATATATACATTCCATGAAATGATAAATAATAAGCAACAAAATTGGAAAAGAATACGGGAAAAACATAAATGCATATACATTTTTATATTCAAATACATCAACGATGATGGCTTTTTTAAACAAAAAGTTAAAGATTAGTAATGATGGTGGTATTTAAAAGAACCAAATATCATTAATGTCGATAATTTTTGTATTATAGGGAAAATACAGCTATAATTAGTTGAATCTTAATATAATTGTGTTCTTTCAAAGAAAGACCATAAACTAAAAAATTGAATGCAAAACATAATGTCTGTCTTTTCAAATTGATTGTTGATATTATCATGATAATGTCTTCACTTTATGGAACCTTAAAATTGTCTTTGCTTTATGATGACTGAAACCTAACTCCGAACAATAAAACTTTTTCCCGGTTCATTGCTCGTATCTTTTTCTTTCTGGTTTTAGTATGACTTGCTATGATTTTTTTCTTCTTTTGTGATCATTTTTGTTACATTGACACAATAAAATGGAACATTACCTGAGAGAAGCAAGGGTGTTGACACTTACATTGACACAACATTTTTTTTCTTTTGTGATCCTTTTTCTTCTTGGTATAAAAAATAATTTTTCCTGATGGCGGCCATCTTTTGAAGAAAGGATGACATTCATTGTCGTGATATGACTTGTTACTTGTCAATAAAAAAAATCAAGTTATTGGTAAAGGTGATAGTAAGTGAACCTTAGGGGATGTTAGTGACAATTTTAAATAAGCTTTAATAAATTTTTGTACACTCCAAACAAAGTTTATAACAATAAACATAATATTTTGATTTGTACATGTTATTTGGTAAAAGCCTCTCTAAGTGGAGGCATATGTATTGCAGAAGTATATATACGAAACAATATTACAATATTACAATAGGGCCTCTAAAGTATAAAAAGAGAATAAAACAACTTTAACTACCACACCCTCTCAATTTCAATATGGGGTTTATAAATGGTTAAATTGTGCTGAAAATCCAAAAATAATTGAGTAGCAAGACCATTGGTAAATATATCTGCAAATTGGTGCGCTGATGGCACGTGCAACATACGCACATGCTCGATAGCAACACGTTCCCTGACAAAATGTAAATCTATTTCTATGTGCATTGATGTTGTACTTATAACACCCCAAATTTTTTCAAACTTTTTAAATGTTATGGTTATAAAAACATTCAGATATTAACCCTCATTTACTAAAAGCCGGTCTCACAAAAACATTTACAATTAAAAGTTGATTGTTAAAGCATCATACAAACAATAACAAACAAATAAGAATTACATTCATACCAATATCAAGAAACTTAACAAGTTCCACTCCATCTATCATGACACATCATCTAGCTTCTATCAGTCAACATTTTATCATTATGTATAACCTAGGATACATGACATTAAAAGAGATACGTAAGACAATAATGTGTCGTGAGCTACGTGGGTTTATGAACCAAACATTTATCACATTTTCATCAAAAACATTTCATCTTTGCAAAGATATTTCAAATAGACATTTTATACATTGCATTCCATATCAAAACATTTCATTAGTCATAACATAATTCAAAAGACAATTATTTTCATATTTCATTACTTCTTTCATTAAGAGCTAATTTCGGTGTGAACCGTTGCCATTTTTGTACTTAGGGTCTAGCAATATCCCCAAGTCTATACCAATGTGAAAAGAACAAAATCAGTCTACCAATGCATCATTTCCGTTATGCAATCTATCTCGCGAAGGGGAATCGCTATCCCGATAGATTCCTCTATATCTCGTTACGACACTACAAACAAAACGACATTTAGTGGCATACACTTTTAATGACACATTGTTTTTGTGCCACTACATTATAGTTTTAGTGACATACTTTAAGTGTCACTAAAAAAGTTATTAGATTTAGTGGCATATAATATTTTGTGACACTAATATTCAAACTTATTAGTGACACTAAAATTTAAAATACCACTAAAAGTATAATTTGTATATCATATAAACTAATATATGCCACTAAATACTTCCTTCTACCAAAACTACGTGTTAGCAGATATAAGGATTTAAGTCGTTATTTTGGTTCATCTCAACCCGCTTCTACTCTCTCTAGATTGAAGCCTCAATGAAACCCTAACTAATTCTTAATTCCTCAAATCACCCCATTTTTCTATCTAAATTATTCTACAAATATTATTTGTATATGAGGTGGTGATTGATTCGGCAACACCGGCGCGAACAACGACTTCTTCGCTCACCCCTGGGTTTAGGTTTCATCTGACTGTTTCCCTCTTTTCTTGCGCTTTTACCCCTTCCATCACACCTGCTTTACTCTCTCACTCTAGCCATCCGTCTCCATAGAAGCCTTAGTTGTTACCTCCGCTCTTCCTCACCAACACCGATTACCTTCTCTCTAAAATCCCCAATCGTTGGCCGTAACCACCATCTCTACCAACCTTCTCCACCACCACTGCCACTAACCTTTTGTCTCTATTTACGCGCACACACAAACTAGTAGGTATTTATATCAACTATTTCTATCGACTATTGAACGAGTTATGTTATTTAGAATCATATTTAACAATATCAAATATAATGAACATGAACACGTATATTTTATTTAGCATTAATTTCATACAAAAAGGAAGACTATCGTTTATTGCCGTTAGATTAAACAAAATCAATATTCCTTTCCCACCTAGGATAAAAATGGACAAATGTACCTGTCTAACTTATTAGTTTTTCTTTCACAAATCCAAGTTAAACCAGAATGATTTTCCATTGCATCCGTAAAAATCATGAAACTTTTTTACAAATCATGAGCAGATGCAATAGGAAGAATCATTTTTGAAGAATCGTTCTTGACAATCAGAACATCTATTGCTCCATAGTTATTGAACATCTTGTAACGTCCCGAGATTCATGTACTTCTAAATTCATCCCTATGGTTTTATCATATGAAATTTTAGTCCCTAAGTGTTGGGTTTTAAGCATTCTAACACTCCTAAGGTGTACATGTAACCCTAAATACCTTGGATCTATGGTTTTCTCTATTATACATGCAAATATCAATTTTCCAAGGTATTACCCTAACTAGCATACAATCATATGTAATAGGATAACCAAACTAGATAGAATACATACCTCTTTGTTGTAGCTTGATTCCATGAAGTTTAAGAGCCTAGTGCCCCAAGTGTGACACCTCAAATGGTTCACACAACATCATGAACATCTTGTAATAACCATGAGAGAGGATACTTGACTCATAGAAATCGGCTTGCCCTCTTGTGTATACACTAGTGCCAATTTCACCAACCAATGGGGTCTTTTTATAGTGTGGCTATTAGGGTTACACCATGTAACTCATGACTTTACCCATTCCTTATGCTCCATGGGTTTTAACCTCCATGGAGTATCCATGGGTCACCACATGGGTTAAACCCAACATAAGGAATCATGGATCAAAAGCCCACATATATAAGAATGAATGATTTACACAATCAATCCACATATATTTAATTAATCTCTTTTGATCACTAAATTAATTCCAAATTAATTCTTGATCAATACTAATTAAATAATATGATTTCATATTAATTTATTAGAACTTATAATATATTAATATGTCACAAATATCCTCTTCCCACAAAAGGTCTATCCAAATGTCCCGATGTCATGCAACCCAAATGGACCATGCCGGGTCGGGTCAAGTATGTACCAATTATAGTTATGGACTTAGACACTAATCCAACACTAAGTCCATGAGAATGAGCCTTGAAGCCTTGTGGCAATTTGCTAATTTGAGCTGGATGAGTACGCTGAGCGTACTAGGGCGGGCCCTAGTACGCTGGGCATACACTTATGTACGCAGGGCGTACTCTTGTCAGGAGAAAACCCTAATTTTTAGGGTTTGGGTGGTATATAAGCATCATTATGGATCATTTCACCCACCTTTTTAGCCTTCATACCCTTTGAGTCGTCTTTGGAAAACCCAAACCCTTAGTAAGTGTATTTTGAGCTAAAGAGTGTGTTGTTAGTGTGTTCAAGGAAGAAGAAGTTGCATCAAGGAGCTTGGAAGCTTGAGGCAAGGCTTGGATCTAGTAGTTTTGCCATTTTCTCCATCATTTCAAGGTATAAA